GTATCTTACATTTTTCTAATGAACCGATTTCTCTTTTATTCATCAGAACTATAAAAAATATTATTTTATGAATTAATAGAATTTAATATACTCTTAGAAAAACAGCATATTATTTTTATCAAAGAATACAAATATCTCATACATATTAATTTATTTATTTCTTAACTTATGTATATTTTAATTTAATTTCATATGTATTTTTCTCACTTTTTTATATATCTTTTTTCAGTCATGTAAATAATGGTGAAATAAAAATTTAATAAACTAAAATTAATAGGGATTAACTAGCAACATTGATTATCACCACCTGCTATCAACTATCAACTCATTCGAATATAATAAACCAAAAGACTATATACGATAAACATGTGATGTTTAATAACTTCTTACAAAATGAAAAGATTTTAATTTTTTAGTAATGGAATATTAATTTCAGGCCAAAGTTGTAAAAGGAGTAGTGCTGTTAAATAAACGAGTCTCGGCTTGACTCGGACTCGGCTCGAGTTCTGCTCAAGTTCGAGGCCTTAACAAGTCGAACTCGAGCTCACTTAAAGCTCGTTTGGTTAACGAACTGAGCTCGGCTCGGGTCTATAAGACTCGAAAATAGATTTCTTTTATAATTTTTATAGTTCGACTAGTTAAAACTCGAGATCGGCCCGTTAGCCCTCGAGCTCGAGGCCTTAACGAGCTGAGTTCGAACTTGACTCTGGCTCGTTTATTTATCGAGCCGAGTTCGATTCGGCTCGTTTATAGGTCTAAAAAAGAGTATTGAGGGCGGAAGTCCAATATGTGAGATCTGTGAGTCGACTTGGAAGAAAAAGCGAGGTGCTTTCACTTAGGTAGGATACAAATTTTTTTCTCGTTGAAAGTTTTATTTTATTTTATTTATTTAATTTTTTTTTTACGATAGAATTCAAGATAAAAAAACATATGTACAAATTGGAAAACAATAAATGAACCGAATAAGCCAGCCAACCAATTAAATTAGTTGGAAGATTTACACCAAGTATAGTTTAAAACCAACCTAAAAAGACAAACACACATAACACTAAGAGCTAAAACATACTCCCACGAGTGGAGAATGACGAGTTCCAAACGAGAGAATAAAAGACAAATAAAAAAAAAATCACAAAAGAAACTTAAAACATACAGACAAAGCCAAAAGAGCCTAAAATAAAACATAAACTAAAGCCCTTCCTACTGGACAAAAACCTCCAGCACCACCACAACCCGAGCCAACACCCATCGGAACCTACCAAGACAAAGCCCCGCACAATAGCCTCCGGAGGAACCCACCTTCAACACTAGGGAAGGCCAGAAAAAGGGGGGAAAACCAAGGCTCAGACCCCCGCCCCGACCGCAATGTCCGACAGAACTCAGCCACCGACATTGTTTGCCCATCCTCGCCTGCCATGTCAAACATGGCAAGTTCGAGACCAATTGGGGAGGAGGAACAGAAAGCTACCAAACGCATCCCCAGGCCCAGGACGAGCCAAATTCCCGCCGGCATCACAGGGTGCTAGGGCCACTGGAGGAGGGACAACGCGAGAAAGAGATTGACTAGGGCTGGTTGGAGAGATTTCGGGATTTTTTATTTTGGGATGATTTGAGGAATCTGATTGCATTTGTTAAGTTACAAACGTTGATTTGATTCATACTATGCTTTTTCTTGAAAGTTGTTGCCCAACATAATTTGATGCAACCAAAAATAAAGTTCAAATTGCCAAAAAAAAGTGATAAAATGAATAAAGTATATGAGCAGAACAAGAACGCAATTCGATCTTTTTCTCTGTTATTACTTGAAGTAAATATCTTTGACTTATCATAGCTCATAGGTCCCTCAGTAAAATATGGGTGCTATTTATAGTAAAGTACAATGTACATTTAAGTCCCTAAACTAAGTTATTTGTCAATCTGCATGGCAGAGTGACTTCTCCAAGTGACATGTGTTCTAGCAAAGAGGTGAATAGACAACTTTGCATGTCTAGGTTGCATTTAATTGGATGAGTTGACTATTTGACGTTTTAAGCACTGGTAACTAAGTTATTTGTCAATCTGCATGACAGAGTGACTTCTCCAAGTGACATGTGTTCTAGCAAAGAGGTGAATAGACAACTTTGCATGTCTGGTTTGCATTTAATTGGATGAGTCGGCTATTTGACGTTTTAAGCACTGGTCGGCTCCACAAAAGATGAGTTGTCCCGTCAGTGTCTTGTCTTTATTTATGTGGTACAGGTGGACTCCACTCATAATCCACCAAATTATCAGGTCGGTTAATACTTAATATGTTGTTCGACAAATGGTTTCTTCTGTGTTGCACCGGCCTCTCGTACTGTGTTGGATTGATTCTTGATTGTCCTTCTACTCAATCGGTTTTGGTGGTTCGGTTTTCTTTATTTTGATGATGAACACGTGTCCGTTGTGACATCTCAGCTAGTTTGGATATCAACACAAGCTCAAGAGATTATGGTGAAATACTGAGATTCAACACTGAACAAACAAGTTTGGGCTAGTTTAGTTTCATAGTACAGGCGGAAGATATAATTACTAAGTAAAATTGTAGAGAATAATATCGTATATAATATCAATCTAGAAATAACTTGAACGGATGGATACCCTAATTGTCATCCTGAATCACACTTTCAATTAGAGACCATGAACAATTTTTAGCTGGGGGCTATTACGACAATTGCAGTTATACGACAGGTTTCAAGTAAAGGGCGGCATTATGGAAATTCATGCACAATCAAAGACCAACTAGCAATTATTAGAATTATCCGATGTACATCAGAGTTTGTGTCAACACTCATATGTCACGTTGTCTGAACAAGCCTCAACCCCACTAACAAGATGACCTGCAAGACAGTATTTCTCATAAAATCACCGTAACTAACATCATCTCAAATAGCCGGGTTCAAAGCACGTTCAATCTCCTCCAGTGATCGCCCCTTTGTTTCGACTACGTTACCAACTATGTACATAACTGCCAGCAGACACACAGAAGCAAACCCCAGGTACACTGTACTGATGCCAAACTTATTTACAACACTCAAAAAGTAAAGACCTATTACGAAGTTGGATATCTGCAGAAACGTGGTATACATTTAGTCACAAAAGCATGATAAGTGCATTAGAATATATAATGTATAGATATTGAAACAAACAGACATTATTTTATCTCATTAGGGTTTAAATAAGATATTTTCACCAAATCCTTCTGCAATGTACTTGTTTCATATATTTGTACACCACTTCACCAAGTAACTCTACTCATTTCAGGTCCTTTCAGATTCCTTTTTTTTTTAATATAGAAAGGCAGGCAACCAATCATTTGCGATATTACAGTAAAAGTAATTAACTTGCTTAATCATCATGAGTTATTTATTTAAGATAATAAGCATTGTGTCCTATGCAAAACAAGAATAAGTTCATGCTTACCCAATGCATGCCTAAAGATAAGGCCACTGCTTTTGCTCTGATTCTAGAGGCAAAAATCTCTGGAAGTAGAAGCGCAGGTACAGGACCAGCGCCAAGAGAAAACGATAGTACATAGCTGTTCAGGTAAAAAATAAGTACATTTCAGAGGTTTAATATGTTTAAAAAAATAATCATCATTCATATAAATATGATGACAAGAGGCACCAACATAAATCACTCACAGAACAGTCCCAAGAACAGCAAGGGTGCCTGAATATGGTGCCAAGACCTTCCAAGTAAAACTCAAAGAAAGCAGCAGCATAGATGCAGCCTTTGCCAGAGAAAAAGAAGGAATAATTTATAAACTTGAAAAGGGCAAGCAAATTTAGAAACAGAGACTCTAAAAATCCATGAAACTTACATTTTCATCCAAATTTAAAGAAAGAAATCATGAAAATTCAAGCAAGCATTAGAATTTGAGAACAGGCATGTGGAGGTGGGGTGATGGGGTGTTTCCTTTTTCCGCACTATCACATGCCCAAATTCTACTGTGTAACCAGGCATATGATTTTCCAACAAATGTGATTTATTTCAGCAAATATCATGCATTGTATTCAGACAATAGTCAGTAAAAATACTCAATGGAATAGATGACATATATGATAAAGGACAATCGAAACTTTCAAACTAAAGAATCAAAGATCATGAGTCATGTTCAAGATTTTTAAGGAATTAGATTCTGGTGTACTTAGGGGTAAGATGGTAAGAGAAAAATGTCCAGTCTAACAAGTAAATTATACAAATGGCTCAGTTTCCAGAGTCGCACCATTCCAGCAAAGCTTGTGAGCAGAAGACTTTTCCGTCCTCGTTTATCCATCAATGAGGATGCAATAGTTGTTCCTAGAAAAGGATTTAATTTTTCATGAGAAAAATGAACCAATAAGGTTTCCAGAATTTTTCATAGCCTAAATCTTAAACTAACCAAAAACATTTGATGCCCCAACCAGAGCACTGGCAGCAACATCAGATGTAATTCCAGCACTTCGGAAAACGGAGGTCGAATAGTACACAACAGCATTTATACCAGCAAGCTGCTGAAACAAGAAGAGAGCTGCACCTACACTGACAACTGCAGTACAGTTTGGATAACATTAACGTCTGCAAAACGGTTTTATATTCGACCTGCCCTAATATTACAGAAAGCGACAAGGGAATCTCTTTATGATCCTTATATATTTTAACTGAAGTCTTCACTTGCACTGCATAGCATGTCTTATCCCTGCTTAAGTAGCCTAACAAATTTGAACTCACACGTATTTTATTACGAAAAATTAGCTTCAGCAAGATAAGCGCAGAGTTACACTAACCTTGTGAAAAGGAGAATAAAATAATCAAACGTTAACGGAAGAAAATGAGTAACATCAATGACTAATATAGAATTTTAACGGCAAACTGGATTCACATGTTTAGTTACTTCAAAATGAGATAAAAAAATGTAGCTGAATAGGGATACAGAAGAGATCACAATCACTGAAATCCAGGTCGTACTCATTAGAAAAATAGACAGATGTCTCTAACTTTTCTAAACTTAATCTGGTAATAGTTTCTAACATCATTGACAGTAAGTCAGTAACAGTAATAGCTTGCACCATTCGAATTTTCAATAGCCCCAAGGAAGGAGGAACTGTCTTTCCCCATAAAAACAAAGGACTCAGTTGCAGACCATCCGCTCAAGAATAACAGGGTCATATATTTTGTTGGTTTTGTTTAGCCCTATAAGATACAGTTTAAGTCTATCCCTACTAAACATTTAAAGGTTTCAGAAAGCGGATCTCATTTATAATTTTACACAAGATAAATGTAAACCTTTCCAGTAACGGCTGCTGAAAAGATCAAACCACCCAGCTTCTGGTTCAGAAGAACCTTGAGCTGCTGCATCCAAATCACTCATAATCTCAGAAACCCTTTCTTTTCCAAATAGCCTTTTAATTGATACTTCAGCTTCAGATATTCTTCCTTGCTGCAAATTACCTCTTTTTTTAGCATTGTTTTTACAACAAATTGCTACATTCATTAGAAAATGAAGCTTAAAAAAAACAAAATACAAAAATTAAAAAAAAAAAAGGATGACAATGATGATAGTCTGACGGAATCTAAGAGAAGACATTGCTATTAAGTTCATATAAAACCTGATAAAGCCAGCGTGGACTTTCAGGAGAAAATGCCATTCCAAGTGCCAGTAACACCGACGGAATAACTGCAACACCAAACATTGTCCTCCACCTAATACCACACACACACACAGAGGATATGATTTAACTTTGTAGTATGAAAAATAAAATTTTGTCAATATGTCTGATATGGTATGGAACAAAAAGCCAAACTCAACAAGGGATACAAAAGGTGATCGTAAATACATATCATCATGCAAGATCTTGGAGTTGATAGTTATTATTTATTTGATGACTCAGTGTTATTAATGGCGGATGGCGGTACATGGCGTTTTGCCAAAATTCCGCCATGGCGGCCGCCGTGGCGGTCTATGACGCCGCCGTGACCGCCATCATTAACAAATTTTGCATAGCGGATTATCAAAATTCCGCCACGCCATACCGCCATGGCCGCCATTTGATCAAATAGTGCTAAAGTATAGTCGTCCTAATATGAGCTGATTCCATTAGGAGATTTTACCACAATGGATTCCCTGCCAAAGGCAAACCAGCTACTAATGCTGCAAGGATTCCAATACATATGAATAGCTGGTTGACAGATCCAAGTGTGCCACGAATTTCAGTAGGTGAGATCTGGTGAATAGAAAAGAGTGTTAGATGTACGTCAGAACCCAGAAAGTGAAGCATTTTTCATATGAAGCACAAAAATTGGCACCTCAGATATGTAAAGTGGCACAATAGCAGAGGAGATGCCAATCCCGATACCAGCGAGTAACCGTCCAACTATCATTGTTTCTATGCTTTGAGCTGTGGCGCTGAAATTTGGAAACAGTTACACAATACTATTACAAAATAAACAACAAAGGAACACATCATCTATGTTCGAGTGTGTACCAAAGAAATGCTCCAATTGCTAGTGGAATTGCATCCAACACAAAAGTCTTTGTCCGCCCAAATTTATCAGCCAATGAACCCCCAGTAAATGAACCAACGGTGGCCCCAGCGAGAAGTGTGCTAACAACCCAGCCTACATCAGTNCTTCAGTATGGAAGGATTATGCTAACAAGTTAATAAACACAACAAATATCTACCGAGCTAAATGAATTAAATTTTCGGAAGAGAATAAATAAACAAACAATTGCAAAAGTGGAAAGGAAATAATAACTTAGAATGAGAAAACAAAAACTTAAAATGAGGAGATTGTTATTATCTATTTTATCGAAACGCTAATCCAAAGATTTAACCGACACGTAGAACCACTCAGAAGGAAGAAAAGAAAATGATGGGCACTCCACCCCCTCTCCACCCCAACCCTCAAAAGAACAGGAAGGAGCAAAATGTAAGAACTTCACATGTGCATGAGCGAATAACATGTAAGCGATTACATTAAAGGGGGAGCATTTTATCAAGTAGGATATACATTTTCTAATTAAGCTGAGAGGAACCAGACTGTTGAAATTGGAGAAAGATAGAATTGACTTCTTTTTTATTACAATTCGGCTGAATATTGGCAAGAATGATAGAACATATGAAGTAGGATATACATTTTCTAATTAAGCTGAGTGGAACCAGACTGTTGAAATTGGAGAAAGATAGAATTGACTTCTTATATTACAATTCGGCTAAATATTGGCAAGAATGATATATCCCCATCTGATTTCAGTTCCATACGCTATCTAAATTATTAGATGAACCATAATCAGAGGTACTGGAATTGAACTAAGACTTGCCTTGTAACACAGTATTCTCTGTGATCCCAAGATCCTTAGAGAGGTACTCCAGAGCTCCATTAACAACTCTGAACACAGAAGTGCAATCACAAAACAGGTGAAGGAGTTTAAGATAATTAAATCAAGTCAAACATAACTTGCCCAAGACAAAACAACGATAATGTATTTCAGTTATATCGACAGAAGATGGAAGGATACAATAATACTTAGTTTGTGCGCAATAACCAGATGTCTATTAACGTACCCTAGATGATACCCAAAAAGGATAGCTCCTAGACAAGCAACACCGACATATGGCAATACAGATCCAGATGACTTCACTTGGATTTTGGTTGGTGAAACATCTTCAATATCTCCTGCATGGATGGTGATAATGGTTGTAAAATAAAGCATTTAGAAAATTATGAGCATAAATGCTGGTACATGAGTGTAATGTGAAACAAGAAAGTAAACACGAATAAGAACACTTGAACCAGAACCAATGTTATTAATGGCGGCATGGCCAAAATCCCGTCATAGCAGCCGGGTGCTGCCGTAACAATCATCCTTCACAAATTTAGCATGGCGGTTTGTCAAAAATCTGCCATACCATACCACCACGGTCGCCATTTGACAACACTGACAAGAACTAGTAGAGAAAGTATCCTTTTAACAGTGACTTGATGTAAAACATAGGAAAACAATTTTATGCTACGTTTCGATTGAAGGATTTAAAATCTGTAAGATTTCAAATTTACAAGTTCAAATTCCCATACATGTTCGGATGTTCAGATGATAAAAGAAGTTGGAGGATTCCAAATTCACACCAGGTAGACTTTAGTCATTATTTTGAAGGATTTTAAATGACTCCTCAAATCTTGTCATTTGAAATACTTGTTCGGATGATAATAGAAGTTTGAGGATTTCAAATTCACACCAGATAGACTTTAGTCATTATTTTGAATGATTTTTTATATGACTCCTCAAATTTTGTCATTTGAAATCCACTGGTTATCACACTATTAACGACCACACAGTCCCCAAGTATGAATCTTCATTTAGATTCATCACCACCGCGAGCCAACACCATCGATGCGAGCTAGACAAATGATCTATAATTATTTTCACAAATCCATTGAAAGAGTTTGAAAGTAGTAAATCTAAAATTCAAATGATTCGAAATCAAACTATTTCAAAAGAATTTACCTAAATGCAGGTCAAAAGAATTTTTTTTAAAAAAAATATATATATATTTATATATATATATAACAATGACAGAATCAAAATATAAGCAACTCACATAAATCAAATAATGCTACCAACCATTGTGTATCATATGATAATGAATAACCTTCTTTCCCCGAGCCATGTACAATCACAATCATCCTAATACTGTGACCACATGAAGTCCACCATATACAAATGTTCATATTGCATCGTTCCAGTCCTCCAACTGAACTAACTACTAAACCACAATCGCTAAAATATTTTACAAAGCTACTGCCTTGAAATGTTTCAGATTAATGACAGGATCAGATTTTATAGCGGAACTAAAGATTAAATAAAACAAACAAATGAGATCTAAAATCGAGTTCCGAACACACGAACCAGAATAACCTTGAGCTCGGACTGATCTGGCCTTGGCCGACGATCCAGACAAACTTCGAAAACTACCCCCAAAACTTCCCATTGAAGTCAAATCAAAGCTGAGACCCAGACAGTTATGCTTCTTCTCCATCCGAAGTTTGGTGCTCGAAAATGCTAAGCCTTGCTTCCTTAAATCGCCCTTGCCTGGAAAAAGCCGACGGCTATGAAGGCCAACGCCAGGTTTTGGCTTGACTGCGTATATGCACGCTTCCATTAATCTCTCTTTATCTTGCTCGTCAACGCTGAGAAGGAAAAAAAGTCAACGAGAAAAGTAATTGGTAATAATTTGCGCATGGTAAAAAGGTTCGGCATCGACATGAGAGAAGATACCACCTAGGGAAAAGGGGAAAAGGAAAACGAAAATGAAAAATGACAGGAAAAATGTATTTCAACAGCGAAATCGATTGCTCTAGATATGCAGTGATCCAAACAAAAACAAATTAAGGAAAACAATATGATCGATATTTTGACGGACCTAACGCCGGCGCCGATATAAAACAGTTAATAGCGGGGATGACTGGTTCCGCCGTTTGCCGCCGTAGCTGTCTGTGCGTGTGAAATGTGCTGGATTAATGTATGGGTTGGCGAATGGAACTCGGGGTGCCAGAAGAATCTGGAGCTGTATTGATAAACTATAGTATAATCGTTTTGCTTCGAGAAGATTTGTGTAGAGATTTCTGAATTATCTCGCTTGGTCTGCTGATTTGCTCTATTTTCTTTTTTCTTATGATCTAATTTTTCAAATCTATCCTCAAAACGATAAAAGAAAAAGGAGAAAACAAAGGAACTACATAGTATTTGTTCGTTTCTTCTAATAGTAATTTCAAAATCATTACTGTTTCTATTTTGTCACGTTGAACTAAAAAGGTCCACAATCTGAACTTGCACGTGAACAAAACAGACTGTTTAATAAAACAAACAAAACCATCAATAAAAATACTGAATTGTTAAATACCGCACTCTTTTTACTACGTACCGCACCTCTAAGTATCTCTTTTGCCCTTAATTAAAGAAAAAAAAAATTGGAAAATTCTAC